GGCTTCTCGGAGCTGTGCAGGTGGGTCGTCGGCCGCCGCGCTGGACCCGGGGGTCCCGCGCCGGTCCCTGTCCATTTCTCACCCCACCCCGGCAGGGAAAGTTGGCCGCGTGCTGGCCAGGGAGCCGTGACCGAGGTTCCTCTGCTTCCGCGCGTGGGGTGCTGACTCCTCAAGCCCACTTGTAGCTGTCCCTAAGTGAGGGGCTGCTCGGCGCGCTGTCCTGTCGCATCCGGGTGACAGCCAGCCCGAGCGCAGTCCGCAGCACGCCCGGGAAAGTTGCAGAGGGCAGGAACGGCGTCTTTGCTCCGTCCCCATCCCACCAGCGAGGGGCTTGGGTGGGGTCCCTGGGCTCGGAGAGACTTACCAGTGAGTGGCAGCCCACCATGGCCTGGGGCCGCCTGGGTTTGCTTTCATTTCTGAGCGATTTCCTCCATGCGGGGTTCCAGTTTCTTTTTAAAGCCGTGGAGGGCTTTTCTGCAGTAGACGACTCAAAAAACATTTTTTTAATCGGGGGGAGTGGGGTGGTGGTTATCCCCATCAAGATTTCAGCCGTCACCTCTCCACTCGCAGCTTCCTGTCTAGTTGCTCACATGATGTCATTGTGCCGGGGTGATTGGGCTGCTGGTGCAGCCTTCGCCCTGGGAACCCGCGCGGCTCACCCCACGGAGTGCTGGCTGGGTCACACGGCGGGAACTTCCAGTCCTGTGAATTGTGTGACTCGCCTTCGCGGGACGATTTGGGATGACCGGAAATCCAAGCTTTCCTTTCTTTTCTAAACTTTAGAAAAAATGGAAACCTAGTGAAAAGTTTGGAAAGAGTACAAACAGCCAGCCTCTGGTGAGCCCGATGAGGTCCCTGGGCGCTAGCACGTTCCTTCTCAGAATGAAAGAAAGGCGGTTCTAAGTGGAGCTGAAGTTTTAGTATGTGGCACGGTGATGAGACCCTTAGCTTCCCCTTCTGCTAAACTCAAGGTCAGCGGTTCAAACCCCATTAAGCACTTGGAGGGAGAAAGCCGAAAGTGCCCAATTCTGTAAAGATTTACACTCGGAATTTTTCCGGGGACAGTTCTATTCTGTCCGTGGTAGGGTCGCTATGCGTCGGGATCGACTGCGTGGCAGGGGAGGTGGGTTTCCTTTGTCTCCGAGATGTTCTTAGGAGCACACTGGAGTTTAGAAGTTGCAGGAACCAGCATTAGGAGGAGAGAGAAAGACAAAGGTTACAACAGCCACCCTTAGGCAAGGCCCGCATTCTCGATTTCTTTCCCTCTCATTTTGGGAGGGCGGGGCCGAAAGGAGAGCGGGGAAGGCTGTTAGCGTTAGCCGCCGGGAGATACATAGTTGCTACAGGAACATGTGCTTGATAAAAGAGAAAGGTGGCAACTTAGAAGCCCTGGGTATCTCCGAAGCAAGGTCAGAGGAGCCGCTCTGCAGAAACATATCCATAAGAAAGAAATTCAGCGGGGTTGGTGATGGCGGCCCCTTTGAAGATGTTAGAAAATTGGAATTTGTTTCTCAATAGTTGGGTAAACTTGGCCTCCAGAGCAGACCCAGGCGCCATGGCTGATAGGGGTGGGGATTGGTGGTGGTGGGGGCTTGCTTTCGCAATACGAAAGGACCTTCCTGACTATACATGGACTGTTTTTTATCTGTACCGACCTCTGGTGACTAGAGTGTTATGAGTGTTGGTACGCATTGTAAGGAGTCCTGGTCACATCAGGAGTTCTGAGTTGGGCTGCTAACCTCAAGGCCAGCTTTTCAAACCCACCAGCCACTCCTGGGGAGAAGGGTTTTCTACGAGGGCAGTTCAATTCTGTCTTACAGGATTGCTATGAATTAGAATTGGCTCCCTGGTAGTGGGCTTGAACTTAGCTATAGTCTTTGTTCACACTCAAACACAGAACATCAAGAATGCTTGTAACAGTCTTTTGCACTCTGAGATGCCTTTGATGATTCTGATAAAAACTGCTTAACTCCCTAGCCTAAAAATGCACTCTGCTCCCAACTCATAAATCCTGAAAGACTCTTAGGAACCAGCTAAGTAGTAAATAGAAGGGCAACTTTCTAGAAGGTACCAAGCACCCAAATTTGATCATCATACCATCTTACTCCTTTATTGTGTCACGTATTTCACAGTAAAGGAACTCTAATTCTGGCAGGGAGTTTGGTTGATTTGATTGACCCTCGATTTTCTTCAAAGTTGCGGATTTAGTTTTTTGCCCGTTTTCCTATGGACATCCAACCTACTTGGACTATTCACATCTGGGCTCGGCTCCACTTCTCCTCCCTGGGGAATTGCCCTGGTGTTTGAGATTTTCCCAAGCACCCCCTGCCCCTCCACACCCTCCATCTCTGCTTTAAACGCAGTACCTACCTGCAAGGGGAACCTCTTCCTCCCTGTTCCTGTATGAAATTGATACCTCAGCTTAAAGGTTTTTGTTTTGATAAGAAGTGTCAAAAAGCTGTGAATTTTAATGAGAAAACAGGCAAAATAAAAGGGTTTGCTTACTCTAGTGCCTGTTTGGGGCGTACACATATGAATTGATCATTTTTGAAACCCAGTCTGACAAGCTCATGTGCAACCAAGTGCCCTCGAAGCAGTGTGCTCAGCGCCATTTCATTACTGGCTTTGGTGGCCACTTTGACGAAGTGTAAATAGTTCACCCAACGTTGGTCCATGCTGGCTGTGAAGCGGGGAGGCCTCCACGTGCTCACAGAGACAGCCCTCCTGGCAGCCAGACTCATATCCAAATGGAGCGGGTTAGTTGGCTGTTAGAAATTTGTAACCCCTGTTCCCTGCTCATTGTGGTTCGGTGCCTGGGGCCACCTCCAACCCAGCAGAGCCCAGGTGTGCCATTTCACCGGCACTTTAGAGACTAGAGCTAGATTTCCTGGGAAAAAGCCTCTCCCCCAAGCTCAGCATTCAGAACCCGAGGGCGTTTTTTTACCTACTGGCCTGGAGGAGCCAGGAGAAAGGGAGGTCAAGGGCTGCTAGAGGGGGCTGCTGGGTGGGGGAGAAGTCCCTCCCCTGGGTGGGGGTAGTAGGCAGGGGTACATTCCTGGTGTAATGAGTTATTGGGGAGTGAGGGTGGGGGTGGGGCGGCAGGAAGCTGGGTGGAGGGGCCATCTCAGCAGCTGCTGTAACTACCTCCTCATACAGGGAGAGGCTGGGTCTGGGGGGGGGGG